ATTTAATTAATTACTGAAATTCTTGGTAGTAGCGATGACCATCAGAGATCAAGAAAATGTTTCTTCATTGACCTCTATTGACCGATTCGGAAACCGTAAAGACTCTAAGAAACTTCCTTTCATTGTTTATGTAATTTTAAGTCGAGGATATTTCTTTGACTGGGTAGCAATGTAATTTCATTCTATTGTAGTGGAGTGTTAAAAAACCGTGTTGGATTGGTTTTAGTAATTCTGGTAACTTGGCTCATTTAAGCTTGAACCACTAGAAGCGAAGGTGAAGCAAAACAATCATAAAATACAAACGCCACTCGTAAAACTTGATACCCCCGGAAAGGCAACCGTTCAAGTTGTTATCCTCGCAGATCCGGTTTGTTTCATCCTATTTATTCCATGAATTAAACACTTACACTTCTCACCTCTACATAAAGCAATAATTTTTACGGTAAATATACAAAACAACAAATTCTTTTGAGTACACTCATGATAATAGTGTCGATTCTTTATGAGATCTTCCAAGGCAAAATAATTCGAAAGCAAATAAGAACTGATTTCTAGAACGATCACGAGATTTGTTTTGTTGGTGAAGAGGCGTTCAGTGAGCTGTCGAAGATGGACGCAAAAGCCGATGAAATGCTGAGAGATGCGATGAGTAAAGACGATAGTGGTGAATGGTATAAGCAGGGTAAACCACAAGCCAAGTATGTTTCTTTTGAAACATCAGCAGCAGCAGCAGCACAAATTTTCACGAAACCAAAATAAAAACAATCTATTCAGCTTCAGTGAGTTTACAAGAGTCACTAAACTCGAAAATGCATCTGAGATTCTTTAATAAGATTCACATTTCATGTGCATTCATCTCAAACGTATTCATCTTGAGTGGATCTTGATTGGTTGATCTCAGAAATTGTTGCAGAGAGAAGGCCGAATTATGACTCGATATCAAAGCGCTTCCAAAACGAACCAAGTGATATATTTGGTTCATTTTCGATTCAAAGCTGATCTTTGTCACCGTTTGAACCCATTTTTTTCGTTTCCGCAAAACTTTTTTACCTCCTTGCCAGAACGGAGAGTGACACACCCGCTTTTCACCTTCTGAATGAATTACGTTTGCAAAGCGATTGTTGAATTAGTTTAACCCAGCTTTTATTGTTGAAAAAGAACAAGTACTATTGTGCATGCACTGAAATCTTATAACACATATCTTTATTCGATGTAATATTTTGATTATTTAACAAATGTCATTTTATATGTTGATTATTTCTCAAATTGTAATGGAGAAAAC